AAATAATAGCGAAATGGGCCCAGGCATGGAAAGTAAACTTTAATCCCAATAAAACTGAATCTATCATTTTTTCTAGAAAGCAAACAGTAACATCAATGCCAAGATCTTATAATGAATGATATACCGATAAAGTCTGTTGACACTCATAAACATCTGGGGCTGACTTTTACAAAGTGATGGCAACTGGAATATACATATAGATGATATTATTTCTAAAGTCAGTCCTATGATCAATTGTTTAAGAAGTCTGAAATACCGCCTTCAGAGGAAAACCCTCAAACCCTGTATAGTTCATTTGTTTTACCACTTTTTGACTATTGTGATTATATTTGGATTAACTGTACACAAACTCAAAGAGTTATTGTTAGAAAAACTTCCTTAGATGCTTTAAGAAACATATGTGGATCAGTTAGAGGAGTTTGTCATTCCAAAATCTACCATGAAACTGGTTTTCATCATTAAAGGAACGTCGTAAAACCACCAAATGTATGTATTTCATAAAATGTTCCATAATAAAACTTCAAAGTATTTATCAGATCTAATTCCAATAAACATATCCTCTGTATCCACATATGGATCTAGATCTAGTAATATGCTTCAAGTACCATTATGTCGTACAGAAACATATAAAAAATCGTTTTTACCATCCTCTGTGATGGAGTGGAACAAGTTAGATAATGATACAAGAAACATAGATTCCGTTGCCATGTTCAGGAAACACTTTGATCGAAATGTCTCATCCAACGTACATCATGTCTTCAGAAACACTGGTAATAGATTTTAATCAAATAATTCATTGTAAGTTAAGACTTGGCTGTAGTGACTTAAACGCACATAAATTTGACCGTTTTCTTCAAAATACGTCTACTTGCACTTGTGGCCATCATTATGAAGATGCCATTCATTTTCTATTTATCTGTCAAAGTTTAATACAATTCGATCGCAGTGTTTCTATTACATAAATGGTTTTAATATTCAATCTGTACTATGTGGAAGTTACTCATATTCTGACGAAATCAATGAAAATATTGTAAAATCTGTACATGACTATTTTACCTTAACAAAACGATTTTTTACCTAATTGATTAATTATACTACTGTCTTTTTCATTAAGTCTTTTACTCCTCAAATGGTGTGTTCTCTTGTCTGTAATGATGAATGTATATAAAATGTTTCCCATCGCATTGTATTCGGAGGTATTTCTATAGGCTTATAGCCTGTTTACCAATCCGTTCATTTAATAATGAATAAATATTGTTTAAATCAGAAACAAAGACTCTAAATCCGCCATAGCTGACCACCTGAAAGCCAACCCTAACCACAACATCAGTTGGAAAACCACCAAGGTCATCGAAAGGAACCAGGCTGACTTCAAATCCCGAAAACTACTTGAAGCGGTCCACATAAAGAAGATTTACCTTGCTATCAACAGAGATGAAGGATATTTCATCCCCAAGGCCTATCACTTGCAAATTAATTTCATGTAATCCACTCAACCATTGTACACTATCCCTTGTGTAATATCACTTCACTACTGGCTTCCCAACAGCCTCTTTATCTCTTATATCAACCTATGTACACCATTCCCTACTGGCTGCCCATCAACACCCTTAATCGCGTATGTATACAACCATGTACATCTTCTTTACTGGTTTCCTGTCAACCTACTTAATCATGAATAGCTTCTGTGTTATCAACCTCTTCTATTGTAAAAACAATTCATTTTCGCCTCATCCCTCATACATTGTGCAAATATCTCCTGTATATATCACCCAAAAGCACTACTCATGTACCACTTGCTTGACAACGACATTAGAATCTATATGTCGAAACGTCGCCTATGAAGAAAAAAGAAGTTGAATATCAATAAAATTGTCCTCATTCTTCACGACAAGTTGTTGTTTGATTTGTATGTATATTCCATTCAAGAGCAATTTCTTTGAGGGTGTATTCTTTGGGTCGGTATCAAATTAGACAGAAATACTTAAAATACTATTTCTTGTATGTAGTCATCAGCTGCGACTAAATCACCGGCCTATTTGATCTAAACATACGTAAAGGTTCATTTTATTCCTGATTGGTTGGTTTGTTGTTTAACGCCGCACTCTGCAATATTCCAGCTATATGGCGGCGGTCTGTATACGAGAGTGAGTGAGTGAGTTAAGATTTAGAGTCACATTGGCAGTATTGGAGCCATATCGTGACTATAACAATATATACTGTAATGATAAAGAAAATTTATTTTGTAAAATCTGTCAACAAAGGACAGTAAAACAACTAGGCTATCACAGATAGAAAATGAAAAAGCTTGTAAGCATAAAACATGTATTTCAATACAGGACAATGTAATATAAAAACCGGGCTATAAATCACCAACAACTGAAGGTAGATCACTATAGTAGGGACCGGTCTGTATATCATCGAGTCGGGACCCGACAACCCAGTGATCAACAGCATGAGCATCGACCTACGCAAATGGGATACGATGACATTTGTCGACCAAGTCAGCGAGCCTGACCACCTGATCCGGTTGATCGCCACTTACGACAAGCATGGGTTGCTGAAGACAAATTCTTACCCGTTAGTTTCCTAAGTGAATGAGGTATGCTAATGTATTATTGTCATAAAGGACATGGGTTCTTGTTTAGGTTGGAGGGGGTGCATTTCAAACCTGGTGGTGGCAGGAACATGATATTTTATTACTGACTGGTTGCTGGCGGCCGTGTTTCTAAGGCAGCCTCCTACTTCCTACAGGATATGCGTCAAATTAGCAATTCAACATTCGGTTATATAAACTAATAGTTATTCGTTTATGAATGTGTATATTTGACTTCATGTTTTATTCAGTATGGAATTCTATACATGTACGCGAGATTAGATCATAGACGTCTCTGTCATGTTCATACTGATGATGCATGCGATAGAATCAGTTCTCTGACTTGTAACAAAACAATGTCACAATGACCACTGAAATTGAGTATGTTTTGTATGTGTTTTGAAGTAAAGCAGCTGACGATATCCCGATTACGTTGTGCAAGGCATATTGGAATCAGTGAGTGAGTGATTGAAGATTTAAAGTCACATCAGCAATATTTCAGCCATATCGTGACTTAAACAAACTCTATATTCATGATAAATACACATAATTTATAAAACCATGTCAACAAAGGATAGTAAAATGATTAGATTATCACAAAATGGGTTAAAATAGCTAGCATATATCTTTAAATGTAAACAACTATTATCATAAAATGTAAAAATGGGCTATTTATCGCCAACAACTGAGGTAGATCACCATAGTAGGGTCCATGGGGACTTTCAGTACTTTTGCTATCTGCATGGACTATTGGAAATAATGATTTTACCCAGGTCCATGAGTACAAGGTAACGTTGAGATGAAGTTATGCACAACAAGGTTGCATATATTTTAAATGGGTAAAATGTTTACAAACACACTCACGTTGTACCTTATAGTTGCGCCTCAATAAATTCAATGAACGAATCACTCTGTTATCCGTAGTAAATCAAATAAGATGTTGGTCATGGTTCGCTAGAAAAATGAATTATAAAACTTAATGGGTGACAACTTCTTCTTACACCGTTATCAAGCTAAAAGTGTATATACAACCAAATGATGAAAGGTATATATACATAGTGTGTTTTGACAAACAACAGTTTAACATTAACAACGACATGTAATTGAATAGCAGCTGCTTCACCCCTCGGAGAGGCCAGTATGTTCGCCAGATTTTACATCTTCCGCAATATTCAAGCTATATGGCGGCGAAATGTACATAATCCAGTCTGGACCAGACAATCCAGTGATCAACAGCATGAGCATAGATCTACGAAAATTGGGTTACGATGTCATGTGTCAACACAGTCAGCGAACCTGACTACCAAATCCCATTAGTTCTATCTGACGACAAACATGGGTTGCTGAAGACCAATTCTAACAAGGGTTTTCACAAACCTTTGCATGCATATTAGATATAATATATTTACAGCTATGGGCGCAATGGTCTTCAGTGGCCCACGCTCTTTGGAAGAAACAATAGGGACACCAATGACTTTACCTTCTTGGTATTGTGATGGTATGAATAATGCTTGTGCTAGGAAGTATATTTGGGCGAATGTGGACTGTATTCTGAGTGATTGATTGAGTGAGTTAATAATTAACGTCACATCGGCAATATCTCAGCCATGTCGTGACGAAAACAATTTATATAATACAAAAATGTTAACATCATGAAGAGTTAAACCTGTCGACGATGGACAGTAAAAATACTAGAGTATCACAGATGTGAACGTAAAACTAGCATGTAAAACTAAAACAGTGTAATTAAAGAAGCCAATACAATATAGAACACAGGCTATAGATCGCCAGCATCTGAAGGTAGATCACCATGCTAGGAACCATGGGGACTTACATTACTTTTGCTACCTGCATGGAGCCTAGCTGGATTTGCACCATCCCTTCAGCCGCTGGCGATTGTAGGATAATTTAGCCGAAATTTTTCCTTTGGGAAAAAGAACAAAAATACTACGTTTAAAAACTTGGTACGTGAAATTTTACTTTGGAAGTTTTTGGGACTTACGTACCCTCTCAGGAGGACAATAATTTTACGCTACTTCAACCCCCTTTGAGGATACCTGTATTCTGATTGTCATAAGGTCCTGTGCGTAGAGCTCAGGTCACAATCAGTTGAAGTTAAGCAACGTTGGCCGCGGACAGTCCTCGGATGGGTGACCGTGTTTGGCAGCTTGACTCCTGAAAGTTTCTAGGACTTCAGTCCTGCCCCACAACGAAGCACATGTGACGCATGTGGTCTCACCTTAGGCAAGTGAGTTTGTTCAAAATTGCCTCTGTCCACCCAGCAGTAAAATTGGGTACCTGGTATGATACGATGGTAGTCTGAATTTGAACCTTGAGCGCCTGACAGGCGACCGGTTGTATTCTCCACATGGAGTGTTCTGTACTCGTGATTGTTGTTTTAACTCTTTCCATTCGAAGGACGAGATATCACGTCTGAGGGGTCACAACCCTTCAATACGAGACTATTTTTAGCAACATGACACTTACATACGAGGGACGTGATATCACGTCTCCATGGTTGCAACGGTTGACATGGACCATTCAAGAGGAACATAACATATAACTCCATATGAACTGATTTTTCAAAACATCTTTATTCACTTTTATTAAAATATTCCAGACTAAAAGAGAAAATATTGGGTCGTCTTTAGCCCAGAAACATTGGAAATGCAGTTTTTTTCTAAAAGGAGAAACGTAATTGAACTTACACAGCAATGTGATAATTATGACAATTTTTTCAATCCTGTGACTACACTACGGTGGAAGAACAACCACAATTTAGTAGATTTATGTCATCACTTAGGATTATAGGGTCATGACATCCAAAGAACGAATGAAACGAGTGTTACCTGTGGTAACAGTTATAAGAGCAGTCAACAGTCAAAGAACATTGCTAACAATCAAACGTCAAACGTCGTAACAGTTACTCGCATCATCACAAATGGCAGATAGAACTTGGCTTGCAGTCCTATACGATTTTCCACGACCAGCCATTTAACGCTGTGTGGTCACCGAATGTCAAGATCATATAGCACGTGGTTTTGACCAGGGGAGATAATCAAGTAAATCCTAAATAATGCACTGTCACAAAGTACACGAATTGCATTCGAAGGACGAGGATACACGGCTAGAAAACTGTGAAATATGTTTAGTATGAGTAGACGAGTTATCACGTCCCTCGTATGGAAACATTGTAAAAAATCGGACGTAATATCTCGTCCATCGAATTCAGAGGCTACGGATGGACAAATCTGGTCGTATGCAAGGGTTGTAGATGCCTGGACGTGATATCACGTCCTTAGGATATATGTGCATCTGTGAAAAATTTACGTCGCATGGAAAGAGTTAAATGTTTCAACCATCTTGAACTAATATCCATGGGAATGATCATAAATAATACACGTTGATTATCAACATAATGCCTGATGCAATCTCACGCTTTGAGTTCAGGGAGATGAAACGTCTACCAACTTACTATCATTTATCATTGAAATTGTGTGAGTGAAGTAAGCTGCCGGTGGAACACCTGAAGCTCTTCGCTTTTCGTGATCGATTTCGTTGTCATGATTTCAAGTTTTCGTTGCCCGCCCATTGGAATCTCCTTCGGGAGATATTTGAAGCTGATTATTCTTCTTCTGAATGTCAAAAAGGTGGAGCCACATTTGATGATGACCAACGTCATGATTGATCCATTCATACGACTTGCTATTCTGTACATTTCCAAGTTAATCCATTAATTTTGCAGTAAACGACGTTTTATATATTCACAATAACATGCATTCTATTAGCCCTGTTAGTTGTATCTATTGACCTCCTCATGTATTGCGTCGTCATAGCATTGTGACGTCAAAAGCATTCACGGGCAGAGTTAACAGTTACTGTCCAGTTTTACCTGATGATGGGTACAGACAAAGCCCTGAAAAGTTGTACTCAAGAATAAAAAGAAGATGTAACCCAGAAAAATCTATATGTTCATCAAACAGCATCTGCTAAAATGCCAATCAAGCAACCAAATGTTAAATGAGGATTTGTATGATAAAGAACATCCTTTATGGATGAAATGATTATTACACAGTCAAGCATAACATACTTGACAGTAATTCCCTCATTACAAGAAATACAAAATAGAGGACCATCACCTGTTTAACAAATATTCATGTATATATATTGAATGGCCAATACAAGATCGTCTTAAAATGACCTTTTCACAATTGGAGTGACTGCCCAAGTAGGTGTACCTTATAGTTGGTTCATGTTATGTAATTTACTGATAACTACTTTTTAGTGTCCCACTTCTTTTTCATTTGTTCTCGGATGTAATCTCTGATCACAGCTTTGTAATCGCTGTATATCTTCAAAACTGGGATACTACAAGATGTTGTGGAAGAAGTCACCGAGCATGGTCGCCTGATCCATTATTGTTGCAATCTCTTACCTGGAATCTCCAATGGATAATGTCATGTTTCAATTAAACACATCTGACCAACGCTGCAGTGTCCTGGAAAATATCACATTATGATTTTGTTTTCAAACATATTTTAATTACATAAAAGTTCAAATGGATTGGGCAAAACTTTTCCAAATTAGAAAGCACTTTTCATAACCGTACATCCCGACAGAGGATAAATATGTGATTACTGAAAGGACTATTGTGGAGAGAAAATGCTACACCTCCAATGAAAAATTAACATTATTCGCTAAGAAATATTAAAATCACGACACGATATACTCGACTTGATGTTTGAATCTGTTACAGTGTGGAGACAACCATGACTCACGAGCAATGGCGCAGTCAACTGGACTACCTGATCACCCTTCTTGGATATAGTGTTGGGTCAGGAGCATTCATCAGGTTCCCCTTCTTCTGCATGCGCAATGGAGGAGGTAGGCAAAAATCAAATACTTTCTTCACACCGGTATATCAAAGCAAATGAACTAATATTAACTTCCATGGTCGGTCAGATGTCTTTTTGCCTCTTTCAAGTTTGCTAAGGATAATCAGGGTATTTCGTTATTACATCAACAATTATGATGTGGCACAGAATTAACCACGTCGCAATGTACGACTTTCCAACTTTGAACACTGCTGGTGCAAGCAAGTTCATAATGTCCTGAGGAATGTGGGGATGCCCAGTTTAGAACTCTATAAAGAACTGGATTAAAGTCACCTTGTGGAAACCAAACATCTTCCACCTGAGAGTATGCTTTCATGCTCCGATGAGTGAGTGAGTTTAGTTTTACGCCGGACTGAGCAATATTCCAGCTATAAGGCGGCAGTCTGTAAATAATAGAGTCTGGAACAGACAATCCAGTGATCAACAGCATGAGCATCGATCTGCGCAATTGGGAACCGATGATATGTGTCAACTAAGACAGCGAGCCTGACAACCCGATCCCGTTAGTCGCCTCTTACGACAAGCATGGGTTACTGAAGATCAATATTCTAACTCGGACCTTCACGGGTCTTCATGCTCCGAAATCCGCAGGATTTGATCATTGATAAAGCAGCGGCGACTGGTTTGTTTAGTTTGGACCTTTGGACCTTGTGCCTACATACGAGTCTGCTACAGTTATATTGCTTATTCAACATTATAGTCATGGAAACGAACAAGGGAACACAAGAAAGTACAAGTGTTCCTTTATTCTCTTCCAAAATTTCACCCACAGTGCAATACAAAGCTTGTGAAGAAACCTGGAAAAGAATTAAGGAACAAGTGTTCTTCCATGTGTTCCCTTATTGGTTTCCATGAGTATATATTGATTTCTGGTTAATAATTCACACAACACAAGGCACATAACCTGTAAATAAATGAGACCGAACAACACCAACCACTCCTCCGCTGTGCACCAGTCTGATCTTCCAAGATAATATTAACAAAAAAAGCGGCCTTGATTGATTTCCCGAAATTCTTATTATTTGTTTGTTGTCAAGGAGCATACCTGATACTCTTCATGTTCTTCACAATCATTGGAACCATCCCCTGTGTGTTTCTGGAGATGACAATCGGACAGTTCTCTCAGAGTGGACCTATCAAAGTCTGGAATATGTGCCCTGCCTTCAAAGGTAACGCTTTTCACCTGTCCTCTGTGACAATAGGGACATATTTCATGCATACAGTAGGGAGCCAAACCAATAGATTCTGAGTAACATGGCTAAAGGTGGACATAATTTTGGGGACTCAAAGTTAAGAATTATGTATGTGGTATGGCTTTGGTTACATGTATTTATCGATAAAAAGATGTGGATGAAAAACAACAACATATTACTGCCTATTGTTAAAGAAAGGTGTATGTCTAAAGATTTGATACACTGTAACTTAAAGGAGGGGGACAGATGAAATTAGTCGGTAATGAAAGACTATTTTCCTTTCCTTTCGTACTGCTCCAATTATCCAAATCACGTGTGTGTGCAATAACGTTTACATTGACCTATGTTTTATACTTTTGTATTACATTGTGTTACGAAGTGTAAACGATTTAGGATATCTCACAGTAAATTCCTTGTCTACTGTTTGCAGCAGCAAAATACGTATCAACTACTGAGATATTGAGATATCAAGAACATTTTGTGCGATATCTCTAAATGTGTTTAATATAATAATTACAATCATAGTATGCATAAATGAATTAGAAATTATTTTAAGATATCTCAATTCATTTCAAGATATATTGAAATAATTTATACATATCCACAAACGCATAACATAGATATTTAACTCGTTCAGAGATATCTTTAATTCACTTCATGATATCTCTATTTCAATTCGGGATATGTTTAAAATAATTCAATATATCAGTATTTCTTAATACATGTGAAAACGGATTGACATAAGGTAGCTTTTACTTTTTCACACACTTTCCGATAAAATGTCAACCATTTCGAAGGCAAGAAAACAAGATGTAAGGATCATGATGAGGAAAAGCATCAAAAGAAGAGACTTAAAATCAGTATGGCACCCTCTATTCCGTGCATTTCATACCACTGCAGGTATAGGCATTGGCGGTGTTGTCGTAACGTGGACATTCGTGAGCTACTTCAACGTCACCTTTACTTGGTTCATGTACTACTTCTACTACTCGTTCTCACACATCCTGCCCTGGGACCACTGCAACAACGCATGGAACACCCCGACATGCACTTTCGACAGGATTTCATCACATGACACAACGTTTAACACAACAGGGTACTCCATTAACGGTACAGCCGGTGGGATGACAGCTGCTGAAGAATTCTGGAAGTACGGTTACAAATGGATTTGGATTTGTTCTTCTTAATCACATAATAGCTGCATTGTATAGTTAGATACCTTGATATTATTTGTACAAAAAAGCCATTAGATCTTACGAAAATGTCTACCATGCATCTTTAACCTCATTTCAAATTCTAATCATGGTCCCTAGTTTGGTGATCTACCTTCAGTTGTTGGCGATCTATAGCCAGTTTTAATATTGTATTGTCCAAATAGTGCTATCAGTTTTACCTTTCCAGACTAGTTTTAGTTGTAATTGT